AATATCATTTTATTTTGCTTATTTCTTTTAGACTGGGGAGCTCAGGCTTCATAAAGCCTTCTGGTTTCTTCTGGGCTCCCTTGCAACCTTACAATTCCTATATGTATTCTTGTATTGTATTGTATTTTGGCGAAATGAAAGTGAACTGAACTGAACTGAACAAATCGAACTGAACGCCTTGTTAAAGTTTGAAATCTCGGCAACGCGAAACTGCAAACGCGTAACTGGGGTTTGCGGTTTGAGGTTTGCGGTTTACCTGATGCTAAAGGTCTCTAATGTGATCTACCAAACTTAGAAGTAATTTGCTACGTAAAAAAAACCTACAATCTAACCCCGCAGTACTTGGATTGCAGAGGGGATTAACAGTTTAATCAATTAAATAACTTGTCTTTTACTTTCATTTCAGATAACCTATTAACAAATCTTGTACACGAAGCAGTGGAATGGGACAAAGAAGCAAACCACAACAAACCACCCAGTCAGAGATCAACCTTACATCTACATGCTCTATTAAAGGCTATCAACAGCTGCGGTGTGTGTTTCAACGTATGGGAAAAAAGAAATGCTGACGGGAAGGGGAGTGGAAGCAATGATTTCACCAGTGTAATGGGATCGGATAAGAAATTACTGCTGCAACATTTGCCTGCAAAGCTCAAAGGCGCTATTAAGCCCCAAACGAGTAATACAGTTATTAAACTGTGGAAGGTAATTTGAAGTCACACAAACTATGGGTTCACCTCAGTTAATGAACCTGTGATCTTGTTTTTGTTTTACCTGTAGCCATTATTAACCTAGGCCCTATTATGCTGACTTATTATTGTGGTTGTTTTATATCATTTCGGAGTGTCACAGGTTCTTACAAAGAGGATATTAACTACAGACAATTTGGGAGCAAAGAGAATTTTTGTTCGTTTCTCTTTTGCAGTCATTTGATGAAATCTACAAACTGATTAACACTGATAAACCTTCAGAACAGCAAATAACAGAATATTTCCTCAAGGTATGGGTGACTAATAGCACAGCAGCATGTCAAATGGATATCTACAGCAACTAGACTGGTGTTTTTAACATGTATTGGTGCACATAATTTTTTTGACAAAATTCCTGTGTGAAACTATATTTCCATGTTAAACTACTGCAGGCAAAAGAGTGGGTTGAGACATTCACTTCTCTTGGCTCTTCATGCCAAGGGTACACTAAGGAAAAGGTAACACCATACATGCACAGTATGGTGTACCACGTACCAAGGATGATGACTCTTCACAAAGGAGTAAGGAAATTTTTTGGGCAAGGTAATTACTACCAGTTAAACAGGAAATATATATATATATATATTACACAAACTCCCAGCAGAAGGATCCGAAGGATGGTGGGGCAAACTGATCTGACGAAATTTAATTACTTTTTGGCTGTTTAGCCTTCTTCAGATTAAAAACTTTAAAAACTAAGAACTAAACTGTAAAAACTACGAACCAAGAACTAAAAACTATTTATTTATTTGTGTGTGTTTGTTTACACACCAGCACTGTGGGGACCTTCGACATTCTGGGGACCTTTTTGGGGTCCCCACAACTAAATTGTCTCCAAACATTAACATTTGTTGAGAAACGTCTTTTCCAAGTGAAAATCTGAAGGTCCCCAGAACTCACCTCAGAGTGCACATTATTTCACGAAGGTCCCCACAGTGTTAACAAAGAGTGTAAAGAAAAATTCATTAATTTTCTATGTCAGTCATATAGATCAACTAAGCAGTGTCTGTAGTTGCAGGGTTAGTTTTTTAATTTCGAACACAGGGCTTTGTTTTCTTTTACCCTCAATTTTCGTAGTAGGCATACACAGACTTTGTGGGGACTTTAATTAAACTTAAAGTTAAACACATTACAAGAGATTTATGAACATAGACAAAGTTTTCCAAAGTTTAATCTTCACAATACGAACAAGATTTACAGACCCACGATTATAACTTTTTATTTAACGATAAATAGAAACGAAATTTCTGCTCTGACCATACATTTACTACAACTGGAACCATACACAAGCATTGTGGGGACATGGAAAAAGCAAATAGAAAACTCAAACCTTAAAAACGATAGTTTGAGTTATTAAAATTAACAAAAAAAACTGACTGAGTGAAATTCAATTCATTGGAAATTAACGGTAATTCAAGTTATCAGGAGTCAACTGGTATCATGCCTGGGCGAAACTATTATGATAGTTGATAATAGTTCATGATAGTTCCATGTAAGAAAGTTTGTTTTTGTGGTAGAGTTGTATAGGTTTTTACCATAATATCGAGGAAAATGTGCACATGAATAACAACAAAATAACGTTTTACAACCCATCCAACACGGAAAACAGCCGCTTATCTTGATTCAATGTAAACGATTGTTCAATATAATACGAAGTAAAGGGTGCACAGAAAAACAGCCGGCCATCCAGACTTTGTCTACTCGAAGGCGGTTTGTGGCCCAAAAACCCATCAAATCGCAGATTTTTTCGACCAGAGGCAAACTTCTATCATCACTATACCGCAGTAAACTTTTAAAAGGGAAATAGCCGCACCCATGTTCTGGTAATGAGCATTTTCTGGCACCATGACCAAAATACATTCTTTCTCCAGACACTCTGATTTTGAGAGTGGACAAGGCGTTGGTCTGAGGTGAAATTTCTTTTCACCGATGGTGGGTCGGCAGACAAAGAAAACCCACAACAAATGTTTCCTGTTACTCACACTTAGGGTAGAAGACAGTCTCTTGCTCCCGTTGTTGTCTTTCTCAAGGGTATTGATGTCAATGAGAGCATGAGACTGTTTCACACCCCGAGTGTGAGTAATTTGAGTCTCAAGCCAGGTCGCTATCTTTCAACGATGCTCATGTATTTCGAGCTTGGGCTACCTGTGCGGTGACTATTTTTCCCACACGGATCCTTTTTATTTTCAGCAGCCGTTGCAATCGCTACTTTTGAGATATGCGGCTGAAAATTTACGGGTTACCTAATTTTAACACGGTCTTTTAGTTCCCGCTAACAAAATTTTCCAAAGGCGTACTGTGACCATCCATTGCAAAAGGCCTATTGGCGACCATTTGCCAAATGTTGCTATCAAGTGCAAAAGACCTGTTGTACTGTAAAAAACCCGAAGACAGCAGTATAACCTAGTAAGAACAAAATTAATTTTCAGGAAAATAGAACTAAGAAGATACATTTTAAAAGTCTTTGCAGGCTAACCACCTTGTTAAATGTATAAAGTGAAAGCTCACCTGTGATGTGTAGATTGTGTACTCACGTGGAGTAGCTTCACTCAGTCACCTAAGACTTGGCTTGTCAATTTCCCTCCAAGCAAACGAATCCATTCACCGAGCGAATCGCTGACACTAATAAGGTCAATGTTATAAAGGAGACACTCTCTAGTATCAAACAAAACCACACAGTAAACATAACCGCTAAAAGAACTCACACATAGAAGCGCGGGCATACGCCACTCGCTTGCGACACTGAATTGAGCCCACGGTGCTAATGATGTTTCCAGACGTTCACGTAATCATGAGGGGAAAAACGCCAGTGTTCATCCGAATGTTTGTAGCGTCCCCACAGACGTCCTTTGGGGTTCGTTTGTCACGCATTCATTTCATGCGTGACAAACGAATCCCAAAGGACGTTTGCCGGGAGGCTACAATGTTTGGTCAAACAACTGACCCCTTCATCAATTTTACTTAATATTCGTAAAGAGGTGCTTTTATCTGATTTGTATCAAACTTCTCCAATTAAAGAAAATTTAGCGTGCTCCTGTCGCGTGACTTCTTGCAATTCCCCAATGGAGGGCTTGCAACATGGAGGTAGGTACGAGTGAAGATTAAAAATGTCTTTACTTAAAATAGATCACCGAAAAAGAAACCAAGAGGAAAGGGACAGCTGGCATACACAATGAAGGTGCGTGTAGCTTAAGACTTTTTTTTTTCAAATTTGTCGCCACCCGAAATGTAAAGAGATGATGTCTGTTACATAGGACCATTCCATTTAATATCCGCACCCCCTCTTTTGAGGTACTTTTATTTTACCCCTTCAGAAAATTTTTCATTTTACCCCTTCAGGAAAGAAAGGTCAAAGTGCCGACACATTTGCCTCTCCAGCAATTTCTAGCGATCAAAGGCATCCACATAGCTACCCCCACAGAAATAACTCTAAGACCCCCCTCCCCGCCTGAGATTTTCGAGTCCCTCAATAGCGGGGGTGCAGATATTAAATGTAACGGCCCATATGACCACTTCCTATCCATCCTTTTCTAGAACGAAAAAGAGGGTCAAACTAAGTACAGACGAGGATAAAAATGTAAACCGCAAAAAACACGAAAATGAAAAGGGTGAAGACTTATGTATGGTTCATTTGATTCCCCCTTCGGATTACGTGAAGCTTATCTTGAGAAAAATAATTTCAAATTTAAGTATATCCCGCAAATTGTAAGCAAAAGAGCAACCTTGACATTTGATCAAATGATAATGAAATTAGAAATTGATAACACCATATTTTCACTTTCATGAAACTGTCAAAAACCCCTCATGACTTTCACCCCTTCCAATATCATACACTTTTTTCATCCATGCACTTATTACGTAACTCAAGCCCATTTTTTTTGTGTTATCCACCTTGAAAAATAAGGAGGAGCTCCACAAGACATTGTTTTGTTGATCTGATTGACAATCACCACATTATTTAGAGAACGATAACATAACAACAATAATCAAATTTAAAGACTGTTTATTCTTATTCTCGTTTCTACTAACTTTTTTTATTATATTCAGATTCTTTTGACATGTTCACCTGAGGGGAAAGAATATGACAGAGCTTCTCAAGAAGGAGGTAAGAATCAGTCAATATTGTTGGAAGAGTGAAAGTTTATATACATCATTATCTACCACTAGTACTAGCAGCAAGGCTGCATGGGCTGGTTTATCTAACATGCTACATTGCAAGTTGCAAATACCTTTTAACTGGGCAATGTTAAAAACCTGCATCATTAGCACGCACTTAAACCCAATTGTCTCATGAAAGGTTGGGCGTGTAATCCCTCCCTTTGAATGAGAGGTTACCACAGGCAAATCAGATGGCCTATTGGAAAAGGATTTGTGTTCCTATGTTGGTACTAATAGGTTTCCCATCTTTCTTGTGATTAATAAGAGTCCTGTCTACAGTGTATTGACAAATGGACAAGAAAACTTGATTGTGGTCTTTGCATAACATGGTGAATCTGGGTTTTCTCTTCTGAAAGAGGAGGACCTATTTAACCCCCAAAAACATTCTCTGAAAGGGCTGCTTCTGGCATGGTCGCACCTGTGGTTGCAGGAAATAAAATATCAAGTTTGAAAATCAGCGTTAAAAAAAAACAAACAAACAAACAAACAAAAAACAATGATAAAAATTACCTCCTTCCTAAAAATTACCACAAACACCCCTCCCTGGTTAATTAAGGTGGATTACAGGATTTGCATTGCACTGCTAGTAGCATTGATATCATTTCAGGATTAAAGATAGACACGGTTGTTAACAGAAGATTAAAAATACATCAGTAGCCAACGGAAGGAGAGCTACACCAGTGACAAAAGACTGGCATTTTCTGTGCAATCCATTATTTAAGTTCAAACTTCTCATGAGGCAGTTTCAATCCAGGTCAGAGTAGCTGAGAATGGAGATTAAGAAATAAAAAGACAAGAGAACAAGTTAAACGAGTTAGTCTAACTCTGTCAATAAATGTGCAAAGACCATTTGTGTGATCTGACCCTAATCATTATATTTTGTATAGGTAAACAATGTGCAAGGTCTTCAAGGTCTTTGGTAAGTGCCTTTCAAACAAAGAGCAAATAGGTGGAAGTTGAGGACCTTAACCCATCAGTTACAATTGAATCAATTACGTTTTTGAGATATACAAACTAAGTTTGAAGTCGTTTATCGGTTTTGATGAACAAAATGTTGGGTATGCTCCAACAAACGTATACCTTAGCTCACAGGCATGGGCTTTGGTTTAAGATAAACTAACCAAACATCTACATTTGTGTAATGAGTACAAGCATTTTCAAATAAAATTATATCATTTCTGTCTTCAAAGCTGCAATCCTCTTTGTCAGGGCTATGGTTTGAGAGCTCGGGCAGATTCCAGGATAATACCCAAGTGCAGTAGCTGCACATTTTCATGACCAATGGTAATTTTGTTAGATGGGGATGAGAATGGAACCAAATATGTGTTAGACTTATAGTGATGACAAAGTGCATGAACTGAGCTTTGGACCCCCTTAGAATCAAGATATTTACGTTTTCTGGAGGGTCTGCTGTAGTGGTTGACAGGCTTGCCCTTTGAACTTCTGTGTTTGCATATTGATGAATGTGCAGTAACTGAATATTGCATGCTTTTTAACATCAGAAAGGAAACATTAAATCACCAAAGGATATTGCCTGTGGCTACATTGAAAAAAACATGGACCAGCCTGGCCTGGAGTAACGATTCATTAATGATTATATTGGTAAAATGTTTTATCAATCTTCACTTTCTAGTTCAAATAAATAAATCGAACCGGGGCACTTGAAGATTATCCAATCACGACATTTGTGAAAACAAAAGATTCTCGTTTTTTTGCAAATAGACCAGTAAAATTCAGGGTCCAACTCTATGCAACCGTTAAAAACTTCAAATTGTTTGAACTAACCTGATCTCTTAAGAAAGAGCACTCAAGTTCACGAATGCTAGTTCTCAATAGGCAAAAAAACCTTATCAAAAAACGTTGTGATTGGATAATCTTCTTCCAAGTGCCCTGGTTCGAGTAGTCACACTGTAATTTATTGTTCAAAGGTTAGAGGAAAGTAGTAATCTACTTGGAATTTTGCAATATCATGTAGCAATTAGATTTTAAAAAGTTCACTTAAATGAGATAATTACGCTACTTCAGGTAGAGGACGACTACAAATAATTTCGAGATGACAAACAAGCGCACAAAGAAAGAAAAAAAAGAAAGAAATTCTGTGTTTGTTACGTTTTAATATCTTAAAGAACAATCGTGAAATGCTTTAAATAACAACCCCCATTTTGCATTGCAACAATTTATGAGTATATGAGGCCATATTTTTGTCTTAAATTGGTTACTACTTTAAAACAAATGTTTTTTATATCTTGTTCGGTAGCAAACAAGCTGCGACCAAGCTAAAATTTGTTTGGCCAGTCATATTTTGACTGGTAAGAAACGAGCCATGACTGAGCTAAAATTTGTTCGACTGGTCACTGCAGAATAATCATTTTGACTCAGCCTTGACTTCTACAGTGTCACACTAAAAAAACTATTCATAACTGTGTTAAGAAAACAGTAATTTTGACGTAAACTGCTACATTGCTTACCATTATGCCACTGGGAACCTCAACCGGATTTTTCTGTTAATTGGTTATTAACACCCATGAGAATCTCTTTTTTTGTAATCTACTTCTTACTGTATCAAAAAAAGTCCAACAGAAAAGTACCTAATAAATATTAATGTACATATTTTCTTTCTCTTATAAAGAAAAGGGGTTTTCACCACAAGATAATTCAAGTCCGGAGACTTCCTCTTGGAGTACAGGGGGGAAATAGTTAGGAGGAAAGAGGCAGAAGAGAGAGAGAACAAATATTTACCACATCACGGAAGCTTTATGTATTTATTCCCATTGGAAAAACCTACTGGTTAGTTTTTTTTTATCTCCAGCATTACAAAACTGCAAGGGGGACATTTGTACCAGCGAAAAAAGGAACTTAGTTACATTAAAAGAGAATAATTATTGTTTCCTAGGCACTGTAAAGAAGAAGGTAGTCACGTTAATATTGCTTGCAGTTATTTCAATTCAGAAATCTAGACAAATGGGTTAAAGGACTAAAGTCTAAGGACTGATCGTGTGTAGTTACATTTATTTTTATGGGATCTAACATTTGCTGATCATCAGAAAACTCCTAATTTGTGAAAACAAGGCAAAAAAGTACAGTACATTAACATGTAACATCATCAAAATAATTATCACTGTATCACAAAATTCCTTAAAATTAAGTTGGCTCAATAGGGGCTTTCAGGCTGAAAACCTCCCAAGTTTGAGGATAAACTAAGTCGCCATTAACAAAGATTTACCACAAAAAAAATTACCACTAACGCTGTATAAGATAAAGATGAAACTTTGTTATGATCAGGGTTACAATGACATTGGAGTTGTTATAGCAACTAAATGAGGCCATGACGTATGTAATTTGCAGCTGTATTTCTGGCAATGGGAACTGTTCATCCAAAATTGTTCACGGGAGCTTTTTCCTCCAATAACTGAATGAAGCTTAAGGTGATTCCCTGATCTTGCACTGCGCATCGCTTACTGCACATAACAAGATGGCCTCCGTAAAAAAGAGCTTGTGAAGTAACATTATAAAAATGAGGTTGACCGAAGAGAAACGCTATTGCAATTTTTGCTTGCGGTTGTTTCTTGCCGAGGTGAGACTCAATGCGGTGGGAATGTGCATAACGTAAGCAGTACGCGTGTTGCTGAGTTCGACTTCCTCACCGAGAACCTCGATAGTGAGTGTTTAATTTGTGCTTATTCACTTTGATTTTCATTTAAACACTTTCTTTATCACATTGTGTCCTAAATGTGATATCTCGATGTAAATTCTGTAAAAACGGATTTTTTAATACTTTCTTCCCCCTTTCGCATACATTCTATTTTGAAACTAGCCCCATTCCTCTCTCAAAAATCAAGGAAAATGCATTTGGTGCGCACTTTCTGCAGCTCTACCGCAAAAACGAGTACGGTGATCCCCATTTTTTATTTCATGATTTTAATAAGGACAGTGCTTCCTTTCGGTGAGGAAAAAATTGGCACAAATCTATGTTCAGTTTTTTGGCAATTTTACTAAATTGTACGGATTGAGCTATCACGTGTCAAATAGCGCGTGTCCAATTTCATTCCACTTTGGAGCGTAAAGTAAAAACAAGGGCATTAAAAGGCATTTTTCTAGTACGTAACAGGATAAAAAATACATTAAGGGACCGGTAAAAAAGTATAGGGGGGGTGGGCTGGAGCATTTGGAAATGTGGTTGATAAAAAACACATGACCCATCCCCTCCCTTCGGCACAAAAATGACTGACCCACCCCTAAAGCAAGGTTGGAAATTGCATAACCCACCCCCTAGTTAAAACACGGATGTTTGGTTTCCTCTTAATAATCCAATAAAACCTTGTTCTGTGCTTGACAAAATTTGTTGATACACTGCTACAACTAATATCAAAATCACAGAAATGATACCTTTCACTGAAAAGACAAATGTGAAAAACTGAACATTTCTTGTTTCGATGGACGTTATCAGTCTTGACACAAATATACAGCAAACGAGGGTATATACTGAAATTATCTGTCACAAAGCATATGAAAATTTCTACAAAGACAACCCATTCCTACACATTTACTTGCCGGAAATGCTTTGATTAATCCTCAAAGAAAATCTCTTCCACTTCAATGGCATGCACTACCTAAAAAACCATGGAACCAGCCTCGTACCCAGGCCTGTTCGCGCTATCCGAGTGAACAAAGGAGGCTTGGAACCGAGCGCGATAGCGCGAGGCCTGGCAAAAAATGGCAAAAAAGTCCCAGATCAGCAAGAAAAAGTCCCAGATAATTTCTCGACGAAAATCCTCTGTTTTCTGCGACAGTCATGGAATATTTTGGACGTATGAGATTAATACATCTCTTCCGAGCATCTGTGGACCGTTTTATCGGATAGCAACGAAGTGGGGCGGGCGTTTTTTCCCCATAAACCCTGGTAAGTAAGCAGATTATTTCATTATTTACAGTCTATATCGGCCCAGTCCAGATCTTGCTACACGAAGTTAGAAAAGAGTTCCTTTGGAGCTGGGCATGGGACGAGTTTATTATCACTATACACTGTATCTACAGTAGTTCCAAGGCTTCATTTTCATTGAAGATAAAAACAAAATGGGCGTGGATCTTTTAGTGTATAGAGTTAGAGTGGGCTTATTTTGCCTTTGTTACTCGACGAGGATAAAATCACAATCTAGTGAACGGTTTCCCGGGAAAACCAGAAAAATCCCTAGATGCATGTAAGTTTGTATGAAATAGTTTATTTCAGATTTAAGGCTAATTTTGTTTTCTGTCAGACTTCGAGTAAATTACACCTCTCGTTCGCCTTTCAATAACCTACACTTAATCTATATTTGTTATAGCTTGGCTTGTAATTGCATCATCCTGTTAATATGCTTGGTGTTAGCAGGAGATATTCACCCTAATCCTGGTCCAAATTCAGGTAGAGAAAAATATGCTTTACCTTGATGTTAACCTTTTTTTTTTCATTGCTTAGTTAAGATAATTATATTATATTAATTTGCTGCTCTTGACTTTTAGATTCTGAGTATGAATTGCTAACAGATCCATTGTGTAGTGGTCCAGGTTCCGTTAGTCTACAAGGTATCAATATGCATTATTTGGTATATTTCCCTTAGTTGCAAAGTAAGCATTCAAACGTGTCATTTGCTGTCAATTTAGGTGAAGCTTTGAGGAAGTCACAGGATGTTTTTCGCTCCATAAAGAAACAGAAGTATTCGGGTTCCCCATTTAAACAAGGTATAACTCAGTTTTAAATATCATTAATTCTACAAGTATAGTTGTGTCGTTCTCTTTGACAGTCACTTGCATTCATAAAAACCCTAACACAGCACATTAAATATGTACGTTTGCAGAAGCCATTAGCAGGTCTGATCACTAGAAATTTTTCCAGATGATTTACCTTTTATTTACTTTTAAGCCCATCCCAAGTGAAATGAAAGCCATGTAAACTATTACATACTTCTCCAAGCATTGGTACATTTAGTGGATAAATTTTATCCTCTCCAAAATTTGAATTATATTATTGTCTTGTTTGACTATATACTTACAGAGATCTTAAATATGTAAGGTAACACAAAGTGAACGTGTATTCACACATGCCCAGCTTTTGCATTACTAAAAAACTAGCAGATAGATAATATTTTGTCATATTACACTGTGAATAATATCTATTATTTTAAATTAAATTATTTTAGTGCAAACCTCTCCCAGAAAGGTTATATCAAGTGCTGCAAAAAGGCAGATGAAATTTTCTCCAAGTCCACTGAAAAAGACATGCAAGAGGACAAAGTTTGAAAAAAAAGGAACATTAGGTATAGTAAATCACTCAAGGTCTTGATTTGTGTAATTAAATGAGATCTATAACAAACCGGGTGTAAAGACATCCCAGTGTCAGTCGATAGTGGTGGGGAGAGAACCCTCTTTTCAATTTGTTTTACGTTATTAAATAGATATGAGGTAGTGTCCATTAGGACAGCTGCACTACAATGCACAGTTGAAAATTTCATCTAAATGCATTTGAAGTAAAAGATACTTAACAGCCGTTCCATGCTTTATTATCAACCTCTTACTGAAGACTAAGGACTTTTTTTTCCTTTTAACAGAATCTCTTAGCAAAGTTGTTGACTTATCATTCACATTTAAGGAAGGGTCTGCAATGAAACAGGCTGATGTTTTTAACATCATAAAAGACAAATCTGGTCGTGTTTACTCCAGGAGAGAAATTGATCATGTTATCAAGTTACTGTTCCCTGGTGTGGTGAAGAAACCAATGAAAATTGCTAAAAATGAACCGAACAAAGATGGAGGACAAAAAGATCAAAGACAGAAGCGGTATCCTTTCGCTAGCATTACAGCTCCAAGACCTTTTACTACTGTCACAGCACATTGTGCTCCTTCAAGGAAATATATTAACAAGTAAATTAAGGCTAAAATTAGGCCAATTTTCAATATAGACAATATAGTATTATTGTGTATACCCTTGTGACTCAACAGTAGTGAACCAATAGCTGTGGCAAAGATAAACATTTTTATTTATAATAATAATAATAATGCGCATTACATGAAAGTAAATTATCGACATTAATAAGTTAACCAAAATAACTAAAAATATTATATTAAAAAAAAACAACAATGGATCTATAAAAATATAATATATACATAATCCTAAAAAATCCTAATAAAAAGCTAATCTACAAAAATGGGTCTTAAGTAAACCTTTCAACCTATGAAAATTGGGCTCATTTCGTATTTGTGATGGTAACCCATTCCGCAGTTTAGGCGCAGCAGCTAAAAAAGCATGGTCACCCAATGTCTTTTTAGTTAAAGTTTTTGGCGTTTGAAGCATGATTCCCATTGCACACGATCTTAAATTGCAACTCTTTTCCTCCCTTTTGTTAATGACTTCTTGTAGATATACCGGAGCTTGTCCATGGGTCGCTTTAAAAGTAATTATAATAATCTTAAAATGAATCCTAAATTCTACTGGAAGCCAATGAAGCGTACACAGAATTGGTGAGATGTGATAAAACCTAGGAATCTTAAAAATTAGTCTTGCTGCGGAATTCTGGAGCCATTGTAACTTTGCTATTTGTTTAGCTGGTAACCCATACAGAATACTATTACAATAGTCAATGTGCCCAATTATTAGGGCATGAACAAGTGTCTGGGTTGCTTGATTACTTAAATACTTTCTTATTCGTCTTACATTTGTAATGTAGTAATAGGCTGCTTTACACATGTTATTGATATTAACTTGAAGACTCATGTTTCTCTCATCTCGCCGCTTTCCAGTCACAAGAAGTTTTACAATTTCTGTTATCATTGGACATTGCCTTTCAACATCTGTTGCCAAATCATCAAAGTACATTTCTCCAATCATTAGCTCCAGGTCATCCTCATCTTTTAAATTACATATTCCAATGTTTTGAAGCTGCTGTAAAGTAGTTAGCTCTTTTTGGAGTTTGAGTCTTTGTTCTTCCTTTACGCTACCCTTTACAGAAGCCAGATCATTTAAGGCACCACATATGACACGAGATCTCTCTGCTTCATTGCTATTGTCTTTCAAAGCCTTTTCCAGCAACTCTATTTTCTTCTCCGAAGATATAAGTTTCTTTTTTAGGACTTCATTTTCGGATGTAAGTATCCCAAAACACTCTATATTTTTATTTCAAATCAATTTATTTCAATAAAATTGTTTTCCTTGACGAATTAATTTTTATTAGGATATTTTATGTCCATATGGAACAAAAGAAAGAAGATACATTGGATACCCTGTTGAACAAATTATGTGACCAACTTGACAAGAGCATTTGTTCTGATGGAAAAAGCAACGTGGTTTCAAATGTGAAAAATTGCATTGCAGAGTGTTTTGGGATACTTACATCCGAAAATGAAGTCCTAAAAAAGAAACTTATATCTGCGGAGAAGAAAATAGAGTTGCTGGAAAAGGCTTTGAAGGACAATAGCAATGAAGCAGAGAGATCTCGTGTCATATGTGGTGCCTTAAATGATCTGGATTCTGTAAGGGGTAGAGTCAGCTTAAAGGAAGAACAAAGACTCCAACTCCAAAAAGAGCTAACTACTTTACAGCAGCTTCAAAAAATTGGAATATGTAATTTAAAAGATGAGGATGACCTGGAGCTAATGATTGGAGAAATGTACTTTGATAATTTGGCAACAGATGTTGAAAGGCAATGTCCAATGATAACAGAAATTGTAAAACTTCTTGTTACTGGTAAGCGAGATGAGAGAAACACTGGAAAAAAGGCACCAGAGTTTAAATTCAAGTCAGCAGTGCAGGTGCTTCTTGCTCTTGATGACATAAGATCACAGAAAACAAAAAGTGACTTTTCTACTTTGTTTGGCTTACTCTTGATGTCCCATGGTGCTGGAAAAACGATGCTGGATGCACTTGAACCATTTGGATTGTGCAAGTCCTACAACTTCTTGTAAGTACTACTTTACTTTATCATGTATTTTCAAAAATAAACGATTTTTCTTGAATTCAGGGACATATATAATAACATGCATGCCATCATTGTCTAAACTCATTAACTGTAATTTTATATCTAGTGATTAAACATTTTACAGCTAGACTGACAAACTAGTGTCCCTGGACCAGACTTACTTTATAAGTAAACAAGTAATTTAATAAAAAAACTGAAAGAACATGTCTTGTCTCCTAGCTTGATCTATAGATTCTTCTTGCATTTTTTACCCTTACATGAACCCAAGATTAACCCAAACAGGCTTTAAATTTTAAAACTTACTGGAGAAAAAAGAAATTGTTACTTAATAATAAATTAAATAGGCCATTTCCAAAAACTCTCACTTTCAAAACAAGGCTAGGTGCAAAACCTTTCTTGTAAGAAAAATTATAAATTATATTTACATGAGAATAAAAAAAATATTTCATTTCAATAGCTTTGTAGTACATAGCCTTGCTTTAGGACAGAGGGTTGGAGTAACTTGAAAATGGCCTATTACTGCCTGTTTCATTTATTAAGGCTTCTTTTTTTATTGCAGTCGTGGATTGCTTGATGCTCGCCTCAACAATTATGCTGAACTACTTAGAAAGAAAATTCCTTTAGAGTGGCCAGTTATGTTGATCTTTGACAACATTAACATCTACAAGGGACATTCACGTCACATTAGATTAAAGAAGAGTACAGCACCATCCATGTGGAACTTCACAGTAAGAGCAGTTTTGAAACCAAATATATGTGGAATGGAATACCTTTGGAGAGACCCTGACACAGCAACCAAACCCCAAGGAAAGCTGAAAGAAGTTAAGAGCGAACAGCTGTTTATTGGTTAGTATAATTAACAATTAATGAATGGGGCTGAGTATCTTATGAAGAATTATTATGGAGATCACAGAGGGTGTTATCCGTCGATGCTGTAGGCCGGGATGGATAACACCCTACGAGATCTCCATAATTCTTCATATGATACAAAAGCCGAATTCAATAATTGTTTTATTATTCATTCGAAATAAGTCCTACTTTAAAAACATGGCTAAAACATGGTAACCTCCATCGATCCATCGATGGTAAGTTCATCTTCGATAGTGCACGTTTAGGTTTGTCCTGCTCTGCAAATATTCTCCAAATAGCAGATGTTGTCTTTTTGCTGTTCTTGCCATGTTTTTAGCTATGCTTTCGCCTAGTTCTTACTCTTGAAACAAGTTTAATGTCCACCATTTTTCAAGTTCACAATCAAAACAACTCAACCTCGTCCCCAGGTCTTCTCGGTTAACGGTGCCTTAACCTGCGAAAACGTTGCATTTTTGACGTCATTTCCTCATTAAACACAAAATTCTTCCAAATTTGGTCATCAGTAACTGGTTATGGTGAATTGAACAAGTGCTTTTAGCCAATCAGAATCGGGAAAATATTTTGAATGAATGATAATAAATATTATTAAAAACTGAATCATTGGATAATGCAGTTCTAGAGCTTTGGTTGGCTTAGCCATCATGGTATATGAGCCATTATACCGTACTTTCCAAATATGGTAATTGTAAGCATCTGCTTAAAAGTAGAAACAAGCTGAAAATGATAATCGGTTTTTATTTTTTAAGAAAGTAAAGGATTAAGTAGAATAGTAGTTGCATATCAAGTTTTAGAATTATAATGATGAACCTTAAAGTTATTGCTGCATTTTTAGTGTGATCAATTTTTTTTCATTGTAGAGTCATCACCAGAAGTTGAAAAGGGATACTCAAATGAGGTAGATACCTTACTGCTGAAAGTATTGGACTTTGGTCTAAACACCGTTTCAGTAAAGAGAAAGGAACTGCTTAAAATGGCTGAGACAGACTTAATGGATACTCTGAAAAGTGATACATTCCTCTCAAAATCAAAGGGAAAATACTTAATCAATGTTCCTGTAGCAAAGGCAGAAGAGGACACCCCAACTGCGTCAAATGTTATGATTTTGCCTTTCTCATTGGCAGATGAAGCATTCACCTGTGGTGAAGCAGTGATTTACCGTGAGTATGCAAGTGAGCTAGGCCTAGGCATTAAGAAAAGTGATGACTACATACCCTTTCATCTTTCAAATAAGAAGTACGATGTTGCCTCTGCCAGAGAACGATACAAGGTCTATAGAGAACTAGACATTCACTTTGAACATTTAGAATCAATGAGAAAGGCTTTTGCAGACCATGAAGTACAATATAGTGAAACTGAACCGGTAATTATTACCCCAGACCATTTAACTGCAAGTAATTTCAAGACAGTTATGAAACAAAAATCACACAAAATGGCTGAGATCATCAAAGAATTAGTAACAGGGATTGAAGGCATGCCCTTAAAGGAAGCTATTGATTTCATTAAATCAAAAAGTGGAATATGGTATGGCTTCAAGGATGACTGTCTCTCAACTGTGTTGCATGTTGCTGTTGAAAGAAACCTGGGAACATTGGTTGAATGTCTACTGGCATGTGGTGCAGAGGTGAATAGTAGAGAAGGGTGTGGAGTTACACCCTTACATTTGGCAGTTTTTCACGGGCATATTGAAGTAGTGAGGACTTTACTTCGATATGATGCAAAACCTTCAGGAACATTTCCTGGAAATATACCATCACCTTTACAAGCTGCCCTACAACAAGACACGCCTTGGGAAATTGTCAAGCTTCTACAAGACAAGTCAACCGAAATTAAGTCGCAAACTGCACTTCTTGCCCATGAAATCCTTACAGGAACTGAAGGCATGAATGCTGATACAAATAATACATTAAATCACAACTCTGTAATTGGCAACCCCAATCAAGAAACTAATCACAGTGTCCGCAATTTGGTGGGTGCAAGAGACAGAGTTATTGCTGTGGGAGATGTGAAAACCACAACAACAACGCGTGGCCTTAGAAATAGATGTCCTGATGAGTTTGGAAGTTTCAGTGAGACACCCGGAGACTTCCACACTATCGGTTATTGCATGGAAATTATCTCACGTCTATATGGATCAGGTGGTTTCTTTTATGTTATTAGACATATCTTGAACAGGAGCAAGATAACAACAGAGGCGTTTGATAAAATCTTCAAAGAGGAACACTATGAACGATGCTTTGAATCACTAAACGATTTTTTCTGGGGTCTTGCATTGGCCATGGTACAGTCATTTGAGGATTCTGTGTATTTTCCTAATAGCGACATAGCAAGGCAAAGGATCGGTAAAGAAAGGGAAGATTTCAGTACACGATTGCTGAACAGATTTAAAGACTGGGCCTCTGAAAATAGTAAAAATGATAAGACATTTCAGTTTTTTTCTGAATTTGTCCTAGAATTTGGTCCCCTTTTGCTTATTTATCAAAGTGCCATACGTAATGGGCAGGGAATTGTGCGAGAGGCTTGTTGGATGAAATTGTTACCCCTTTTCACGGTACTAAATAAGAAGAATTACAGAGACGAGGCCTTTGTTCATGTACTCAATTTCACTTGCAACTGGCCAATTGCTCTTAGGAAACTTCTAAGAAGAAATTGTTCAATCAAGCTTAAAAGATCACATCATAATTTGGCTCTTGATGAGTTTGTGGAGACAATGCTAGTAAGACCCCTTAAAGTGTATGCCAGAAAACAAACAACGGTATCAATGTTACAAAAGATTAACATGAACTTAGAGTTACTACAACATGTACAGAGAGTGTTCAAGAAATCATTTGATATTCACCCCACAAGCAAACATACAAAGCAAGACTCCACTCCTGACATAGTAAAGGTCGCCTGGTTTGCAACTACACAGAAATGGTTTGAAGATAAAGGAAGAGACAACATTTACAGCTACCCTTATGGAAACAAAGTTCTGCCAAAGCACAAAGAACCAATTCCAAAGAAACTTTTGGACCCAATTAAGAGGGGAAAGGAAATGATCGTGAAAAGTTTTACTGAAATGAGATGTCGTCTTTTTCCTAACTCAGACTACATATCTTTGTAAATATCACGGACTGTAGGATGTCTAATTTTTGGTAGGTCTGTGGATAAAAAAGCGGAAGAAATATGCTTGCTTCGCATCTTGCATAGATTTTTGCAAGCATGTTATTCTCGTACAAATTTCTGCCATTGATCAAAGGCTACTATCAAATCTACGTTCATTTAACATGTTAAAATAAGTTGGGTTATAAGCATGTCTACATACAGTTTAAACAAAAAGGGTTAACTTAGTAATTAACAGGCACAAATTCAAGTGAGCTATGTGATACATGAAACGTCATTCCAGGGAATTTTCACTAAAAAGTAAAATGCCCCTTCATCAATGCATAGAACACCGCTGCCTTCGATGTTTTTGTTTCAGTATAACCTATTTTTCATTGAAAATGGTTCTAAATAAACACCCCGTTTAAGGCTACTGTGTATTTGGGCGGTTTTCTGGTAAATGATAGGATACAAAGAGGCAGCACTGTCAGACGACCAGGCTTAAACCTATAACAAATCTTTTTAGGGTTAAGAGTGACATTGCCCCTCAACTTTTTCCCTCGCCATCCCTCAGCCGTACTTTGCTTGCCTTTCTTTTCTTTTGCTGTGTATGAAGTAAGTTTGCAAAAACGTGTAAGATGGTTGGAAGAAAGTGCAGATGGGTAATGGAACAAGGTTCGTGGAAAAGTCAACAACTTACTTACACTGATGTAGTTTTTAATTCACCCAGGTCTCTGTATAAAAGTTAGATGCTTTTTCTATATGTAAGAATACAGGAACCATTCAAGCAATCTGCAAACTTTGTTCCCAGTGTTAGGTAAACCGCGTTTTTGTTCCGTGCTGTTTCTTCTGGGGGAATTTCTCGGAGAACATCAGAAGCAACTAAAACACGAAGTAAATACTCCCCTTCATCAGTTGTTGTCTTCAAACAGCCATACTCTTGTAGCCTCTGGTGCTCCTCCTTCACTTTCTTCCCTGTCAATATCCGGGCAAAGTAAGTTAGTGGATATTTAGCTCTTCCTGGGCAATCTGAAACTCTCTGTACACATGTTATTGCATTTCTTGCAAACTCCCCAACATTTTTTGTAAGGTACCTTTTTTCTGATGAGCATACGTCACACTTACTCTGGCAATCACATTGCTCCTTGAAGTATTCCAGCATTACTTTCCTCCGACAATCGCCTCTTTGAAAGCAGTAGTACATGACCTTCTGAAAACTGGCAAGTCTCTGAGTGGCATAAGCTCGATTAACATTCATCTTTCCAAATATATTTCTTACGTGGAAAACTTGATTATGCGGAACAAAATAAACAACAGATTTGGAAGGTTGCCGATCTCTCCCTGCTCTACCAGATTCCTGGTAGAAGTCCTCCATAGACTGTGGTATATCATAATGAACTACAAGGCGCACATCTTTCTTGTCAATGCCCATGCCAAATGCACAAGTACATACGAGACATTGTAAATCATTTTTCATCCATAAGGTTTGTCTGTGTTTTCGAATGCCATCTTCCATGCCCCCATGGTAACACTTGCTCTTTATTCCTTTGGCCTCAAGCTTTGGGGAAAGATCTTCACATTCTTTTCTTGTCGAACAGAAGACTAAAGAGCTACCTTCAGCTTTTACTAGGGCTGCCAAATCATCCACCGAGTTGGCATTCTTTTGTCTCACTTCATAAAAGATGTTCTCCCTGTCCATTGGTGACAAAACTAACTGTGTGTTCCTAGCTCCTAACATAGAAATAATATCATCCCTAGTGACCTTGCTAGCTGTAGCAGTCAACATCAGAAGGGAAACGTTTGGAAAGCTCTTTCTCAGCTCTGACAATTTCACGTACGAATCTCTGAACTCATGTCCCCACAGGCTTACACAATGCGCCTCATCAACAACAAAGAGACTAAGTTTGTTCCTTGAGTAAAGGGTGGTCAGAATATTGAAGAATGTTTTGTCCTTCTCAATGATCTCTGGAAGTACATAGAGAATTTTAAATGGACAAACTTGTTGTTTAAGGCACATGTAAATTCCTTGCCTTTCCGATTCAGACAAATCGCCATGTAAGGCTGACGCACCAATGTTGTGAGTCATACACACCTTCAACTGATCATCTATAAGTGATTTCAAGGGTGACACAACTATTGTCATACCATGAAATTTATGAGCAGGAAGCATGTAAATAAGTGATTTCCCTCCCCCTGTTGGAAGGGTGACAAAGCAGTCTCTACCTTGAAGTAGATAAGTTATTGCTTCTCTTTGCTCAGTTCGGAGTTCAGTGTAACCCCATTCCTTCTCTAAAATTACCTCAAGCTGTTCAATGATGGAGTCAATATCACATGTATCATGCTGTGATGTCAGTGTGTTTGACAAATGTAGTCCTTCTAAATCAGGTAAGACTGAAGTTGTATATGTGGATACATTATTTAGAGAACTTGATGTAACTTCCTCCACAGGTTCAACAGTGGATCTTAGACATTCAATTTCTGGTAAGTCACGACCAGAAGGTGACTTCACTTTCCAAGCTTGATACACTTTGGTTGTATTACTGGATGACACAGTAATATTCTGGTACCGTTCACTTGAGAAGTTTGTTAATTTTTCCCCAGCCAGCAACACAAATGCCACCTTCAGGGCAGCATTGAAGAAAGAAATGTCTCTAAATGTCACATTTCCCAATGAGTATTTTACTGCAAACAACTGCCCACCAATCTAAATAGATAAAGAACAAATTCAAAACAATTTAAGACAACTACATGTACAACAGTCATTGCAAGGGATAACATACATGGGGAGTGAAGCTTATGCAAAAATGTGAAGTGACGTCTTTATTTAAAGAGGATAAACACTTGATAGTTATTATCTAAAAATTAATGATAAACTTTTGGCCCTCTATAAACATAAAATCAATAAAATCATAAAATCATTCTACAATGTCATTATAAAAAGATCAAAATTTTCATACACAAAATCTGTAATAGACACAATTAAAAACAAGCCAAAAAAGAATTTAAAAACTATCTACAGTCTCAATTTAAAAATTGTAACTATTTAAAATCAATATTAATTATTTAAAACAAGTAAAAGTAAAATAAAAATATACTTAGTGTACTATTTTACGGACTTAATATAAAAGGCTACTTAACCATTTTTCATAGCGATGTTCAGAATTACCTGTTGCTCTTTGCTTAGTAATTTAAGTCATAAACAATTAATTTCTTTTTAAAAAATTTAACATTTTTAACTTTCTTAACATCAGCAGATAGTTTGTTCCAATGTAAAATCCTCCTCACGCTAAAAGTGTGGCATCCTACTGTATTTTTCTTTAAAAAGGACAATGAGATTAAGATTTGAAAAACAAATGGATATGTTATGAACCTGAGAAGTTGTCTTTAATATAGAATTAATGCAATCTGGAGTTGTACCGTCTAGTCTCTTATCAGCTTTAGAACATCTGCTTATATATGCCACCATAACAATTGGAATCCAGTTCATTAAACATAAATAATATGCATGTTGTTCTTTCAGTGTCTAATATAACGTGTACAGCTATCTTCTGTGTCCATAAGACTGTTTCTAGCAATTCCTTACTGCAAGATGATCACACTGGACTGAGGTGCAACATAACTGGCTTATAACAGCGAGATATAAAATTAATTTCATCTTACCACTTTACTTGAGTTGAGGAGCACTTTGAGAAAGGCAGCATTCTCATTCCTTATCCTCCTCTCCTCTCTTACTTCATCCATATTGACCTCACATCTATGGGTTCTACTGTAATGGGTACCAATGTCCACGAACCATTCTTTTGTATGTTGGCATGTTGGGTGAGGACAGGGGAATTTGTTTTCTTGTAGTGCTGCAAAAAATTTAAATCAAATATTAAAAGTTACTAATGTGTAAAATGATTCGGGCTAAAACGAAGAGGCATAGTGGATAACAGAAATTTGAGATTGAGATGAACCATCATCATAACCCATCAGACCTTCCTGTGTTTAAAATTCTTACAAAATTTTGGGGTATCTGATAACAATAGGCCTTTTGAAATTGTTGGTCACATGATCAACTTTCTTTAAACCAAAAACTAGTTCGCTTTCAGAAAAAAATGTTTGCAGGAACTGAAAGAGCATATTTGTTAACCTGCAAATTTTCAGCCCTGTATCTCAAAAGTAGCAATTATTGCAATGGCTTCCAAAAAGTTGAAGGATTAGTATGGAAAAATGAACTCTTGTCATCGAGTCACATGTGGTTCTCCATGCAAAGCCTTGTAAATTTTCTAAATTTCAAACCATCTAGAAATCTTAAATTCCTTAAGCATTACAAGGTACAGATTTTCTTTTATACATAACAGACAATTTGAGCCTGTCATGTGTAAGGAAAAGAAGATTTTATCTTTAAAATTTATCTTAATGTTAACAGTACCTGATAAGTATATCATATTTCTAGAGAGTAGTGGAACAAAATGATTAGGAACAAAATCCCTCAAATTTTCCACGGGTCCCACTCTGCTCCACAGTACAGCCAGGGGGGGTTTCTCCTCAAAGACACGTGGTGTTATTGTAATATGAAAATACTGTCGTACCTGTAAGATTTAAATAACCTTAACATAACATTCAGAATGAAAAAAGTACATTTGGAAGAATCACATATTTACATACCAATGTAAAGCTATCAAACCACTAGCGAGAAACAATAAGTATGTCTCTGACGTTCTGTCTTATAACCTAAGAAACTCAGCTGTTAACTTATATAATATTATTCTTAAACCTAAGTAAGAGATAGGAAAACATAGCCTTCACCACAGAGGATCTGTCCTCTGGAAGAACATCCCAAGAGAGGCAAAAGAAAAGACCATTTCAAATCATTCCTCATAGACAAACATGCTCTTTAGTTGCAAAGTCATAGAGTTTTTAGTGTGTTAAATTTAGAACTTAGTATTTAAGTATGTAATAAGTTTATTGTAACTGTTTGCTTTTAAAGATCATGCAAAACATTCTAATCATCTTTTGTAAGAATAGTACCAAACACTCATGTAATATTCTTGTTAAACTTGTTGTTTCTGAAAGGCCACTGCTATGCAAGTGATCCCATGGTTAAATAAGATAGTAGTACTAGTAGCAAGAAATCCATTTAAGACACAGAGGACTGTAGATAATTCCAACCTTTGCCTTTGTACCTTGGGATAGCCAATCTGACTTACTTGTTGTCAGACAAAGATAGAATTACAAAGATAGCTTGGCTGGACATATACATATACATTGGTGGAAGGCAAGTTTGATATGGATTTCAATTTTACTCGTGATCAAAAAATTTAAAATTAAATTTACCTTTGGTGTCGTTTCAGGATAAACGCTCCTGATCTTCCTCCTTAAAACAGCCCCTAAAGCTTGGATCTGGAACATTGACGCGTACTCAAAAAGCTGACAGGTCTTCATTACCTCCGTCTTGTAAATTTCGTGGACAAAATCAGCATCTACGAGTCCACTATCATTTCCTTCGACACCTAGAAGTCTCTCTTGTGCTGCGATTCGCTCAACGAGTTCTTCGTCAGCTAAATAATATGTTGAGTGAAGGGCTAGCTCGATTACACATCTTGCACGGAGCTCAACGTGCTTTAACTCATTCCCAGCAACCAACAAAGAAAAGGATCTATAAAGGCAGCTTCCATCACCAGTTGAATTCAACGGAACGTACTCCTCGAGCTCCTGAGATGGGACGATTTGTTGAGCATAAAAATCCACGTTTATTTCATCAACCATAGATTCCTTGAACGAAAATTCTCCAACAACTTTACGGATTTCATAGCAAACGTTAACTAAACTATCCCAACCTGTTTCCGTTGCTTTTTGCATTTCTTCAAGAATTTGGCTAAAACCGTGACTCGGCGGCGCCATTTTGGATTTGCCATTATTTGCCAGGCGTCCTGGGCGAATTTTCCCGACAAGCTTGACAGGTGACGTCACATCCGAAATCGCCGAGGACGACTGGGAACGAGGCTGCCATGGAACTGCAATGGGCACAAAGACAGCAGTTTTGATTCCTTTACCAATATTTTCATGACATATATTGAAACAACAACTCTGAGCAGAACTGTCTCTACAACAACAGTTTGGAAATGCTACATACACAATATCTTTTCCCTATGGGACAAGAGTAAACCAGACATCGAAGCGTTCATTCATTGAACAAGCAAACTTACATCACCCAACTATTGAATTCACAGCCGAAACATTTGACACTGAGATTGCGTTTTTAGACATGGTTGTATACAAAGGCACAAGATCCAAGGAAAAATCTATCCTTGATGCACAGACACATTTTAAACAAACGGAAACCTTCTTGCACACATATTTCACCTCGTGTCACCCTCCAAATGTTAAAAAAGGATTTGTCAAAGGAGAAGCCTTGAGAATCCTACGAAAAAACTCCTCAGAAACAACCTTTAAGGAAAATAATTCAAATTAAAAAAAAAAAACGCTTGATGGACGGAGGCTACCCACAATCTTTGATAGAAAACCTACTATCAGAAATAAAATTCACAAAAGTGAGTCTAAACGCCTAAAACAAAACAACAATGAGGAAAAAGAACCAACTATGACTTCAATAAATTTTTAAAGAACCACCAATCATTTCCTTACAAAACAGGAAAATCATTAAAGGACATGCTCGTTAGAGCCAAAAAAAAAAGGTTAACCGAGGGTTCCACGTCGGTATAGATGTGCGGCCTGTCACCCTTTGTATTTTCTCGCACAACAGGTTTGTAAGTATTTTAGCAATAATTCCAGCTGGCTGTGTTTTATATAACACTGTCTCGTTAGTAGTTAGTGCCTATCTATGTAATAAAATAGGGTGACCCACCCCCTAAGGGTAGCTCAAAATTACACGACCCACCCCTTGCACAAGGCTCAAAACCTCATGACCCACCCCCTCTTTGCTCCGGCCCACCTCCCCCCCAATACTTTTTGACCAGTCCCTAAAGTCAAATTCTGTGCGATACCACATGCATCATTGAAAAAATCTTTCCTTTTTGTCTAGTTTTGGGCTGAGCGCGGTTTTTGTCCAAGGGTCCAAAATAGCCGTATTTGTCAGCATTGTGACGTCAAAACGAGCACGGTGACCCCCACTTTTTATTACCTTTTTATCATCTTCTTCACTTTTCACATCAGTGTACCAAGTTTCATCTACAATCTATGTTAGATTCTTTTTCTAGGGAATCACCTTAAGCAAAATCTATGAGAGCGTTATCAAGATGGAATGAAGTTTTGTGGTTAGAAATGTATGTTAAAAACTGGACAATCTCGACGTTCAGCTGTTATCTGTAGAAAACAAAGTGCTTTTGAAATGCAATTTCACCTCATAGTAGTTTCAACCTTTTTAAAAGCTTGTGTGAAAGATCATGGAGATAGCTCTAGGCGATTGCTAGAAAGAAAGATTTGATAAGTATGTCATCGAGGCGCTCCTGTCAGCAGTGTTGTAGAGTGTTTGGTCTACTTTAACCATGTTAACAAACCAGCAAATTATTTTGAAACTGTATATAGATTTTTTTTTTAAAATTTGAGATTCTCAAGACCAATCATCATTTTATATGACCTTTGAGTTTGAAGATTATTGATATATTTAAAGGCAGTAAAAAAAGCGCTACAATTCACCATTTTAACTCATTATTCAGGGGTATTGTCTCCATTGGTGGAAAAAGCTCCTGTGGACCATTTTGGATGAACAGTTCTCAAACTCATTAATAATTCATGACGTTATAAGCCAACCAGAGTGCCCTATTCGGGTCAGGTGGGTGACTTTGAAACTCAATGAAACAACAGTTGAAAATCATTAGTGTTTCATCGTGTTTTCATCACTAGTGGTAAAATTGTCCTTAATCTGCATATTCATAGATTACTCAAACACAGCTTAACATAAATCATTAATTTTTAATAAATGGCCAGGAAAGACATTTCAAATTACAACCTGACTGGCTCTTTTTCTTTTTGTTTCGCTTTCAAACCAATGCCAGCTCGAGTCCCATCCTTCATGTCTGCGTCCAATATTCGTCTGAAGATAACAAATCTAACGACGAAAAGAGAAAAATTCGATGCAATTTCCTAAAGTTTTAAAATATCAAATGGCACCCCTCTCCAATAACGCCAATTCACGCACCTTTTGTCTGAAGAGTCCAAGGGATTGAACTCGATGGCTAAGTTCTTTTCTACCAAGAATTGGCGAATGCCGCAGACAATCTGGTACAATGTTTCCGGAGGGTATTGATCTTTTGACCACTTTGCCACCTCTTGAACAAATTTGGATAACCAATAGTTGAGCATCAATGCATCCACCTCTGTTGTGGGCCGAGTAAGCGGCTGAACTTTGTCCAATTCATACTCTTTAAAAACTCCACCAATTTCGACTATTGGAAACTTTACACTTCGCACTTGTTGCCAATCCTCAAAAATGCCTACTGCCCACTTATTTTTTTATATCTGGTAGACTTCGGTACTGCTCTCTCTACGCAAAGTTCTTCTTCCTCAATTGTTTTCGGGAAGCAAAACCTTCCTTTGGCCATGGCAAAAACAGTATGTAAATCACTTCAAGTTCATAACGCTTTTGGAATACAAATTTGGTGCAACGCGAAACTATTGGGCAATTAAAAACAAACACTCAAAAATACAATGAATGCCAACTGAATACAACAAATCACAGGTACAAGGCATTTTAAAGACAAAAGGGAAAAATACAACACTGCATAATTTTGTATTGTTTCTTTGGAGAAGTCATTTAAAAAACTTGCGCTTTGGGTTTCCTCAGTTTTCCAAACGCTCGAAAACAATAAAATGTTTCAAATGTTTTCTCGTGTTTGGAAAGCTGATGCTGATGCTGATGAAACCCTCGCACTCGTTTTTGAAATAGTACTTCCCAGTGCCAAGAAATACAGCTGCAAGTAAAATAGGTAATGGCATCATTTTGTTGCTATGACAACTCCAATGTCATTTTATATTGTAACCCTGATCATTACAAATTTTCATCTTTATCTAATACAGCTGTAGTGATAATTTTTCCCAATCTTTGTTAATAGTGAAATAGTGTATGCTCAAACTTAGGAGGTATTGACCCTGAAAAACCCCATCGAACCACCTTAAGCTTTTGTGGACATTAAGCTGCATGGTTTAAGTAAGCCCACCAAAAAATATCTCAAGCGTGGAAAGATGTCACATATTGGTCGCTAGGCTGCCAAAAAATGGGTCTTCAAAAGCAGTTTAATATATTTTCAGAGAAAAAAGATGCGTTTCTTATAATCAGAGGAACACTCATGGAGACTGAAAGTTTGGTCAGAATGTTAAAACATGAATAAACAAAGGTGCAGTTCATTATGAAACCACTTTCTCCTTTAAGTTTGCAAAAAGGTTATGTTTCTGTGAAGAAATCTGCAGACCAAAACCTTGCTGTTCTACTAATACCTAGTTACAGTCGAGGAAGATCAAACGTACCCCCTAAGATTCTTTTTATGAATTGATTATACGGAAAATAAATCTGTTAGTTGTTCCCGTAACTGGTGTCAAATTCAAATTGGCATTCCTGCATGTGTAATGAGCAATGAATATTTTACGAGCACTTCTCTGTATTTGGTCTGATTGAAAATCTTTGAATGGATTAAATTTCTTAGAAGACATTTACATCACATTCACTGAAACTGAGCTGGTATAAATTTCGTAACTGCTTTGCGTGTGAATTCCCGGCTCATTACTCATGCAAGAATGCAGAGATAAATCTGAAGTCTACAACTACCAACAGATTCAACTTTCAAATAATAAATTCACTAATGGAATCTTGGGGGTACGCTTGACCTAGCATGACTCTAAGTGTTGTTAATGTCCTTACGATATTTTAGTAATGATGCAACATTCTTAGAAGGTTTGGGTCGTCTTGTGAATAATGAAAGAGCCACTAAAAGTAACTGCCACATGAAAAAAATTGCCCATAACAACAAGGTCAACTTTTGTCTATTTGCAAAGAAAGATATACCGGCAAATACTGAGTTACAATATGACTATGGTGTGAGTGACCTTCCATGGCGCAAAACAGGTGAACCACCAGATAACACAATAACAATAATACTTCTTATGTTTATGGGTCATGTGTAGGACAAAGCATTTTCTGGAATCTCAAACAAATGCATTATTATAAGGGTTCAAAACAATAGCAATGATACTTAATGTTTTTACATGTCATCAGTCATCTATTATTTCTCACGTTTATTTTCGGGAATTTCAAACAACACATTATAATCAGTGTGACTTATGCTTCACAAATTTTTGAGTCAGGTAATACAATGAAAACATGCAAAGAGTCTTGACTGCAAAATGGCCTGTATTCAGTCAACGTCAAGAATGTAACGGTAGTCAAGCAAATGTAATGATGAAAACAGAGTAAGAGACTTTATAGATTGTGAGATACGAACACTACAGGCTGTCCACTTAGCATAAATTAAACCATAAACACCTAGGAATTGAAGCTAGTCAAGACATTTTCTGGTCACTGTCAGATAATAAAGAGCTAAAACTGTCCAAAAACCTGTTTACAGGTCAAGCAAGGCCCTCTTTTCAAGATGCAAAATATCAGCTTCTTAAGTTTGAGCATATGCAGAAAGAGATACAGTCAAATCCCATGAACACAGACACTGGTTGGGTCATGGAAAGTGCCCCTATTTAGTGGGTCATGTTATTCAAGTAAAAATACATTTGGAATAAAACACTAAAGAAACAAAACAGGGCCCGCTTCCATTATTAAAATTTTGATCCACTTTTTGTATTTACCTTTCTATGCATTGCTTAGAGAAACATTTTATGTAAATCATTACTGTGTCTCAGAGTAAAGGCTGAACAGCATTTGTAAGCTTGAGTTACATGCTCTTAGCAAGAAAACCGTGCTTAAAATTTTGCTTAATCCTGGGTTACACTTAACCATCTTTGTAGGAACTCGGCCCAGGATGGTAGCATCGGCAAATTAAACTCTAACATAAACAAAGCAGTCAGTCTGCGAACTATGTCCATGGTCCATGGTTACAATATAAAGTCGCTCACTTAGACATACTTTATAATAAAAAAAAAAACATTCTCTGCATAGCTCATTGGAAGCCAACATAGTCTGAAATTGATGTCTACAATAATAATAATATTATCGTTGACTCTTAAACCAAGACTTATTGTAGTTTCAAAACAACAACCATACAGTCTTCAGTTGTCTGAAGTGCTAAGGTCTTTTGCTTTTCCTCCATCTGTGTGGGGCAGGCACAGGTTTCATCAGCCTTTTAATAATATTTCTCTAATTTCGGCATAAGACCTTTCCTAAAACACTGAAATTGCCATTTACTAAAGTATTATATGAAGGCATGGGCTAATAATGACATGTGATATTCTCTGGCAAAATCAAACAATGAATGAAAAGACTAGCTTTGTGCTAAAAGGAAAAAAAAAAACAGAAAAAATTCATGTAATTTCTTATCTCTCGACTCATGTGGGTGTGTGAGACATATGGTGTGCATTTTTAAAATGGCGTTTTCGCTGCTGTTGATGCTAAATCTCCCTAATGTACTGTATTGATCTTGTTTTCTTATAGGCAGTCATACACAAGCAACCTCACTTTTTTTAAATCTGATTAAAAAATTAGTATTCAAAATTTTGTAACGCACTGAATAACAACAGCTTAAAAACAGTGTTTACCTTCAGTGAATAATGTCTTCTTGCTGCTAACCAAGGTCAAACAGGTTCCTCCTTGCCACTGAGCATCTTGTGGCCTTCAACAATGCACACTTTAGTTTTAAACCAGGATACCAGAGATCATCATGATCAGGTATAACCATGTACTGTTGGATGATAAATTGAAATGGAAAACTAGTGAGAAGAAACTATGAGGGAGTTACTCTGTTAACAAGGGATTTTGTAGTTATATGCATATGTCTCTGTTCTGCTCTAACTGAATTAATTACACACTAGAAATGATTTCTAAATAAACGTGCACATTAAGGTGTCTGAACACAGTTTTGGCAGTTTGTGAGTATATGTCATTTGCTAATTAATGCAAGAGAAAGGTTTCAGGTAACAAGCTCAAACTTGGCAAGTGAAAAATACAGTGATGAAAAATTTTGATTGGGAGGTAAAATTTGACGTTTTTGTAGTTTCCATGGCAACATGAACGATTGAAAACAACCCTTAAAATTTCACTTTTGCTCAGTTTACATAAAATTCGCTCATTAGATTTTCCTACAAACTTGCACACAGCTTACTATAATTAATGATTACCATTTCAAACTTATCTGACCAAATTTTAACAGACAGGATTTTAGATAATCAATATAACGAAACTGTAATTGTGTCACAAAATTTGTCCGTTTAACTTCCATTTTAAAGTTCTCATTAGTTAAAATATAATAAAAGGAACAATTCTGCCAAATATCACAAAATCTTAATGAGTAGATTTTGAGAAATCGTCTTCTGTGTACCATTGCTTTTTCGCCGGCATGTTTGTTTGTTTAATGTAAAAAAATTTGCCGTCACGCGAGTTACAGCTGACCGCCCGCAAAACTGTGTTCAGCCACCTTAAAAGAATTTGGCCAGAAGGCAATCAAAGTGCCCTAAAAATGTTCACATTTTCAAGTTATTGACATGCCACTGTTTGCAAAAATTCATCAGTTATAATAAGGTAATGTTTAGTAATCAAGTAGGTATATGATAGAATAATAAAGAGTTTTATCAACAACAATGGCGATGGCAATGAGAACATCGAACAAGCAACAGGTCTACTGAACAAAACATTAAGTTTGCACCGTGCATCATGGTTTTTTGTATATTTCTTGGCCATTACTGTACGACTACGACATGAAAATGCCTACTTTCACATTTTATGGAGGACGTAAACAAGTGACGGCCAATCTTTCTTTCTCTTTCTAAACTTGAGTACAGTCCCCAAGAAATCAACTCCAGGGAAATGTGCCTACATAAGACATTTTCAGTGAACTGGAATACACGCGACAAAGTCTGAAAAAAGCTAATTCATTTTTAAAGTGGCGTTTTCGCTGCCATTGATGCTAAATCTCCCTAATGTACTGTACTGGTCTTGTTTTCTTTTAGGCAGTCATACACAAGCAACCTCACTTAGCTAAGAAGGGCTTAACAGAGACATCAATTGCCAGAAAATCACCTCTCTCCGCTGATAGACCGATCACTTTGCCCAACATTGAGTCAATGGAAAAGGATCTGACTTTAGAGACGAGAGCTCGTCAGGTATTATTACACTGTGTAATCATTACACATATTGCATCAAATGACAGTCCTGTGTTAGTAAATACCATCTTTACTTTGTGAATGCAACTCTTAAAAATCACCCATTTGAAGTTAAACACTACAAAGCAGCAATGAAACTGTACCAGATCTTTCGTAAAATATGCAAAATACCTAAAATCAAACATTAACATAATATAAGGTTGTTCAGGCAACCCGCAGATACCTTTCAGGGAAACGGGCACATCTTTTTTAAAATTTGCTTAAAAAAAATATTCAAAATTTTGTAACGCACTGAGTAACAACAGGTTAAAAACAGTGTTTACCTTAAGTGAATGATGTCTTCTTGCTGCTAACCAAGGTCAAACAGGTTCCTCCTTGCCATTGAGCCTCTTGTGGCCTTCAACAATGTAGACTTAGTTTTACACCAAGATACCAGAGATCATCATGATCAAGTATAACCATGTACTGTTGGATGATAAATTGAAATGGACAACTGGTGATAAGAAACTATGGGGGAGTTACTCTGTTAACAAGGGATTTTTGTACTTATATGCATATGTCTCTGTTCAGCTCTAACTGAATTTATGACAAACTGGAAATGATTTCTAAATAAACCTACACATTAAAAGAATTTGGCCAGAAGGCAATCAAAGTGATCCAAACCTTTCACATTTTCAAGTTATTGACATGCCACTATTTGCAAAAATTCATCAGTTATAATAAGATAATGATTTTTAATCATATAGGTATATGATAGACCACCATTTTTAAACAGGGACAGAAACTGAAGTTCTGAACAATAGCAAGGGAAATGAGAATGTCAAACAAGCAACAGGTTTATTGAGCAAAACATTAACTTTTCACCGTGCATTATGTTTTTTGGTGCATTTCTTGGCTGTTACTGCACGACTATGACGTAAAAATGCCTACTTTCACGTTTTGAATCTTAGAATGTTATAATTTCTAGTTTTTGTAGTTTTAAAATCATACTTGTAACTCGAAGATACTAGCTTATCTTTAGCTACTTTAAATTCAATGTGAAATAAAGTATATGTATCTATGTATGTAAATAAGCGACGACCAAATTTTCTTTTTCTTTTTAAATTTGAGTACAGTCCCCAAGAAATCAACTCCAGGAAAATTTGCCTACATTAGACATTTTCAGGCAACTGGAATAGACGCGACAAAGTCTGGAAAAAGCTGATTTATTTCTAAAATGGCATTTGCGCTGCCGTTGATGCTAAATCTCCCTAATGTACTATATTGGTCTTGTGTTCTTATAGGCGTACACAAGCAACCTCACTTAGCTTAGAAGGTCTCAACAGAGATATCAATTGCCAGAAAATCACCTCTCTCTGTTGATAAACCAATCACTTCGCCCAACTTTGAGTCAATGGAAAAGGATGTGACTCTAGAGACGAGAGCTTGTCAGGTATTATTACCTTGTGTAATCATTACACATATCGCATCAAATGACAGTCCCGTCTTAGTAAACATCATCTTTACTTAGTTAATGCAACTCTTAAAAATCACCCTTTTAAAATTCAAAACTACAGAGCAGCAATGAAACTGTACCACATCTTTTGTAAATATCGAAACTCCCTAAAATCAGTTTTATTAACACAATATAAGGGTGTTCAGGCAACCTGTAGATACCTTTCAGGGGAACCAGGGTACATCTTTTTCAAATCTGCTTTGAATACTAACAGGTTAGTACCAGTGTTTACCTATAAACGTGAGTGATGTCTTCTTGCTGCTAACCAAGGTCAAACAGGTTCCTCCTTGCCACTGAGCGAAGA